ATTCATATTGGTACGTTCATTCTTATATCGTCATAGACTTCCATATAGGTGTGACCAGAGCTCCGGCTTGGTACCTTTAGATATACAGAACAGGTTACTTTCTTTATACATTTGCTATCTTCAATATCAGAACATTCTACAGTGCCAGAGGTGCTTCCAATCTTAATAAGGCTAATCCTTTTCTACAGCCCGTTCTCATGTTCACCACTTCTTTCACTATTTCAGTCTTGGTTACTTCCAGACTACTCTTCCAATCAAATCCTTTTCCTTGAGTTTCAATTAGGACTTATTTGCACAATCCGTTAATTATCCTTTCAAGCAAGTACCCCACAAGTTGGGTGCGGAGATGTTGGTATTGCCTAATTAGGAGGTGTAGGAATGTTGGTGCTGCTCTAGCCTAAAGGACTTACATATGCAATCTTTCCATAATCGTAACCTTTTGTAACAACCACTTGTTACACATAGTGCCTACACTCTATGATTGGGTCTCCTTTTAGGAATTCCTACTTCGGTCATGTATTGCACTTGGACTTAACCACAGGGCTTCACATTCAATTACTGGCTTCTTATTGGATTACAGAGGCTAAAATCTTTTTAATTTTTGTCTCTAGCCGGACTTGAACCATTGACTTTGACTGTGGGGGCATGGGAGCTTAACTACTAAGCTATGGGACCCACACCCTTAGTCATATTCTTATTTGTACTTATTTTTATAATACCCCTCTTTTTTCGGCCCTTTGAGAAGAAAGAAGAATTTAAAGGAAGGATTGAAGACAGTTAATGCTTGTCCTAGAGAGAGGAATCCTTTCTGGTATGGCTTTAAGTAGCCAGATAAGCAGTCTACCTCTAACTGGGATAGTGCAGCAGGTCACACTTAGGTACCAATAAGATAGCCAAGTAATGCTAGACTTAGTTATTAGAAAAATTCTATGTAGTTATTGTATATAATTGCAAGAATCTTAATAAAGTACTAGCATGGCTGCTTAAGAGCAAAAAAAACAAAAAAAAAATTTATATGATCTTATCTTTAAATTTATTAAACCTCTTAAAAGTCTCATCATATATAATAATACAAATTTTAAATTTATAAAATCTTTTTTTAAATTCTATTATATATAATACAATACTTTTACTTATTTAAAAACAATAACTTTTGACTAATATAAACAATTTTAACTTATTTTAAAAAAACTAATTAACAATTTTCTTATTTTTTTATCTAATTTTTTACTTAACTGATTTAACTTTACTACTTAACAAATTTGAAATATTAAATAATTTAAATAAAAATTAGTACAAAAAATTACTGTCTTTACTAAAAAAAAATAATAATAACTAGTTACTTATTTTATAATCTTCTAACTTTAAGAATAGAGTTATTTAAATCATTTTTATAAAATAATATTTATATTTTTATCTAAATTTGATATATGCTACTAATAAAACTTTTTTATTTTTTAATTAATTAATAAAAAATTTTATAATATTATAAATAAAATTATTTATCTATTATAGTAAAATTTTAAAATATTGTATTATTTTAAAATAATTTAATGTATATTACTAATTATAACTTATAATGATCATTATTTAAAGGCTATATTTTAAAAAACATACTAAGAAACAAGAGTTAGGTAAACTAAGTAAAAATGTTCAGAACTTCTAAAAATCTTGTATAATCTAAAATCTGGACTATTATATCTAATCCTTACTTCTGTCTCAAATTGCATTTTAATCCTAAAAATAGAGATAGTGAGAATCACTATAGGTTAATTGTAGTATTTTTCTTTAAAAAAATATATTTAAATATATAATAAAGTTTACTTAGATAGGTTAAAATTTACTTAGATGGCATAAAAATAAAGAATTTAATTAGTTAATTTATGTAAATCTATTAGTTAATTTTATTTTATAATTTTATATTCTAATTTTTAAAAATTTATATTTTAATGAGTTTTTAATATATTTTAATAATTTTATTATTATTAAAATTAAAAAAACCTATTTTATAACTTTTACTTAATGATTAAAATTAGGTTACTTAATATAATTTTTTATAAAATTAAATATAAAAAAAATTTACTATTAGATTTATATATAATTTTAAAATACTTGCATCTATCTTTAATAATACTAATTTTATATTTAATATTAATATAAATCTCTTTATTTTTAAAACTTTTTTTCAAAATTTTACTATATATATCTGTTTTTATTAATTAAAACAAACTTAGAGATTTTTTTACTTTTTTTTATAATTAATGATTACAATAGTTGATTTAACAAATAATAAAAAATTAAAGAATAATATTATACTAAATATTATTAATATATATAATAACAATAATGTAGTTTAAAAATAATTTTTATTTATAATATTATATAATAAAAAAATAATAATAATAGTTATAGAAATTATATTTATATTTTTTATTACTAAAATATATTTTTTAGAAATATTTTAGATTTGAATATAAACATATTTTAATATCAAATAAACTTTATATTAATAATAAAAATTAGTGTTATTAAATAATTAAAAAATAAAGAATGGTGATTCTAATGTAGTGATTGGGTTGTCATCCTCCAAGTGGCAGGTTTATGGTTCAAATTCCATCTATAATAAAATTTGAAAATTATATCTGCATTACAGTAACTGTCTTCTGTCAATTGGTTGACCTTATGTGGCTATTACTCAGATATATCAGGTTAAGTCCTTCCAACTTTGGAAGCTTAAGCATTTATGCAAAGTAAAACATTATATATATATATAGGAATATTAACTGATATTGCATAAAACTTCGGTGCAAACCTATGATAAGACCATCAAATATAGAAGACTAAGGAATTGAGATAACAGAAACCTACTTGGAAATTCCTAAATAAAAAAGTAGCATGCACTTTTAATAGTATTATCGGACTAGTTGAAACCCATGAAACACCTTCATAGGAACCAAAGATTAAAACCAGATATCAAATATGTATAGAGGAGCAAATAACCAATCAGGCTACTGAAATCATCAGAAAAAAAGAATACATAAGTATATCATATCAGACTATCTGAGCTGGTAATTTAAAATAAGACTAACAGTTCCAAGTTATGACTAGTAAGAGATGATGAAAAAGATGCCAGGAAGATAGATGCTGAGGTCCTAATGAACTTTACAAAGATAAAAATAGTATAACATAATGATTAAACAGATAGCCTCTATGATTGCAAGTGTTAGATAACTATAATGTATTGTATAAAACTAGATCTATATGTATAAGACATAAAGACTCTAGTAAATTTCCTATTGAGGATAAAGTAATCCTAAGAGTAATGATAAGCATTAGGAACTTGGATGTGTGTAGTCTTGAGATATTCTCATGATACAAGAAAGATTGTATATGCAGAGGGTTTAAATAGACAAGACTCCTAGTTGGCTTGCAGGTATGACAATTAGTGTAGAACTTATATAGCAATGTGTAAGCAGACTACTTAAATTAGGCACCAAAAATGCATATGTGACTAGTTGTAACCTCCAATGTAAGGAAGCCTCTAGAGGCACCTGTTTCCTAACAAAACTTGAATAAAATATCATATTCCCAAGATAGAAACTTTAACTATAAAAAAAAAAAAATAAAAAAAATAAATTAAAAAATTATAACTATTTTAAAAAAACAATAGAATATTTCAAATACTTAGAAAAACCATAATTATAATACTTTGTAATAAATATTATATTAAGTTATTCAAAACAAATAAAATGATTCATTTATTACTTACCATTCTTATTTTATTGGCCTAATTTTTTTGTTTGCATTTTTTTTAAAGTTACATGAATTTTAGTATTCAATATATTGTTTTGTAATGTTCGAAAACTTTTTTGGGTGACAATTTTACACTGGTCTTTAAAATGCATCGAAAATTTGGCAGATATTATTTGATTTAAACTTTATGGTCGGGCTTGGGCCTAGTTTTTAAAATTAAAACCCATTCTGCTCATATATAGAGATCACGATGATTATCATCGTGATCTATGACTGTATAAAGTCACTTAAAAAAAAAGGGTCCGTGTAGTGGACTTTTGAAACATCCAGTATATATATCACGATGATAATCATCGTGATCTTTATATAAAGTTACTTTAAAAAAGGGACCGTGTAGTAACTTTTGAAACACCCGGTATAAAGTTATTTAAAAAAGTGACCAATTTTACTTATCGTTAAGATACCTATATATGGTTTTCTTAGTAAAATTTTGAGATATTAATTATTTTTGCTTTTTTTTTTCTTATACTGAGGATGAGACTATATGAGTGCGTGAGAGTGAAAACCTGGAAACCGATCATAGTAAATCATTAAATCGGTTTCCAGGTTTTCACTCTCACTCATATAATATATAGTGACCAGTAGTGGAACTTTTGAACACCCGGTATTTGCAAATGAATTTTGTGAATTTGTGTTATAGATATCTTCATATGCGCAACTAAATACATACAATCCGCAAGTAGAGAGTGCCGTTTTTCATTTAGTTGCGGGACCGCAAATAAATCAAAAAATGAAGATGGAATAAAGTTACAATTTTAGGGTAGACTCTACGTAACCCTAAAATCCTAAAAAATTAAAAAATTCTAAAAAATTCTAGTACATCTGGTTCCATCCAATCAAAATCGGCTTGACAAATGGTACTTAAGGAATCCACACACCGCCAATTGGGCGTACGTACTTCAATTTTTTTTTTTTCTTTTTTATTTAGAAAAAATTTGACTCAAGTACTATTTTTTTATTTTATTGCACACAGTAGTTTGAAGATCCAAATCACACCTACTTTCAAAAGAAAGCTTTTTCGGTAAGGTATTTTTCTAGCAAGAGAGACATTTAAATGTTTTTACTGCGCTTAGTTATTCGTCATACACTTTAAGATGGCGTTCAGTTTTGTTTATAAATTTTAGAAGTATGTATTTTTTTTTTTGCTAACGCCACTTAATTGTTCTGTATCTTTCGAAAAGTATATCATGCCTAAGGACAAAAGGAGACAAGGATATCGAAAGAAACTGCGCTACAATAACAACCGACTTGTACGTAAAATGGCGTTGAAGCAAACCGGCTCTCAACTAGCCGACAACAATGCATATGACCCTCAGAACCCCCAAATTATGACAGCTACTCAAAATTCAATCGATATTGGCAACGGTAATGGTGATGGCGATAAAACGATTAACCCAATTACATTCCTTAATACCTTGCATCACAAGTTAAAGACACCGAACCCACCAATTTATGATTGCACTCCTGATCCCCAGGGCGGTGGTTTCTATTGCACATTGACGTTCTTTGATCAAACATTTAAGTCAACAGTTCCTAAGCCAAAGAAACAACTGGCCAAAGAAGCTGTCGCAACAATTGCCATGGAGAGTTTCGAGAAGCAAATGTCCAAAACTTTTCAGCAAGTCCGTCAGACTTTGCTTTCAGCTAATTCGGCTCCTAAAAAACAGTCAAAATTGTCGAAAGGAAGTCGGCAATTCAATAGAATGCTGCATTCAACTGATACGGTAACTCAGTCTGCTCAGTGGCTAAGAAAATTTTTGGACACACATGTAGAAAAAAGACCATGTGTTATGCTTCTGGAATTTTGCCAGTTTCATCAACTTGGTCATCCTGTTTACCCTACTAGAACAGACATGAAAGGATTTGTTTATATGGATTGCGTTGTTGCCAAACGGTTATTTACTCCAGAGATTGCCTTTTTTAATAAAAAAGAGGCAAAGGATTATATTTCCGATAAAGCTTTCAACATTCTTTACCAAGAATTTTGCGAACAAGAACAACGTCAAACAGAGGAAAGAATGAGATCTGAAAGAAGTAAAATTGATTTCCCTTCTGGTGATACTCAATCAAGCACCGTAACATTTGTTCCACAAGTATTCACTTCGGACAACAATGAAAAAAGCACGTTTCTCACGACTCCCCCGGCCACTACAAATGCTGTCAGTATCGGTTCGTACAATACCACAACTAATATTCCACCACTTCCTCCCGTTAGTTCCCAAGGGATGAGCAGTAATTATGATTACACAAATAACGGTGTATCAACATTTTCGACTCTTGATTCTCGAGGAAGTGGTAATAAATGTGGTTCTTCTACCGAAACTTACAGAGAAACTCAACCGAGTTTTGTTTGGTCGAATGCCAGTGAGTTAGGACCTCCGCCAACGAGTGCATTACTTGAAAATGCTCTACACCAAACTGCTCATGCTTCTTTTCGGCCACCAAGCGTAACATCGTCATCACAAGTGGTATTTCCAACCCTTGGTTTTAATTCTTACCAGCCTCCACAACAGCCCCAGATTCCTCCAGTACGCTTTCAACCTCCTCAACAGCCTCTATTGCCTTCGGTACCTTACCAACCTCTACAACAGCCTCAGATGCTTTCGGCGCCCTACCAACATTCACAGCTTCCTATGCCCACAGCACCCTATCAGCCTCCTCAGCCATCTCCATTTTCTCAACGTCCTCGTAAATTAAAAAATAAAAGAAATCTATTACACAAGGGGGCATTTATTTATAAGCGATACATTAGTTTGCTATTCGAATTCGCGCAAGCTCAACATTGGGCGAATCCGGAATTCGAATTTCAAAATATGTTTGGCGAATTCAAGGGAATGGTAACTATTAATGGCCGCACTTTTGTTGGAACAAAATTGTGCAAAAAGAAAAGTGAGGCTAAAGAAGATGTTGCCGAAGTTGCTTACAAATTCTATGTGGATAATCCCATTTATATGTAAATGGGAAGGGTATGAGCTGTTGGTCACGAATATAAGATGGTTGGTAATGGTTTATTTGGATAGAATTGAGTAAAATCCATAAATATCAGACATACATGCTTTCGCTTTTGCAGACAAAATCAACAATGCAGTGTCTTCCATTGACAAAAGCTCATATCACCTTCACCGTAAATATTTTTGTACCTTTTACATAAAATGGGTTGTAATCAACTAATAAACAGGTCAGTATATTAGTTGGTTCAGACTGATGGGATGGTGTGTTTTATATCGTTCGTGAAGATGTTCATGGGGCCTTGTTTTGTGCCCGTTGTGATAAGTCCCCAATAACAATCAAGGACGATATACTCTATTCTTAGGGTTTTGTAATTTTGTGCATCTGCAATAGCAGTGCAACCATAACCACATGAGTTAAGATAATCATAACGATAATATAATTTTTTAAAGTTTTTTTGTTTATTTTTAATAAAGAGATTTGCTATGTATCGCCTGCGGCGATCATCGCCGTAATGTGATTAGCTAATCAGATCACGGATTAGGTGCAAATAATTAAAAAATCGTTCATAACTTGATACGGTATAACCTCGACATAACGAACGCATGTGTATAAGAAGTCCATCTCTAGTTTTTATAATTGAATTAGCCTCGAAATAATGAAACTATTAGTGGAAAATTTTGTACTAATAGCTTAACGCCTTTGTTATGTCGAAGTTATATTGTAATTACTTATGAACCTATTTTTTATGTTTAAAAAAAAATTCGCTATCTGGTCAAATTAAAAGTCAAGATCAGGTGTAATATCAAATACAAATTCTAACCTTGACACCGGTAACGAAATTTTTTAGGACTGGTGATGCTAAGATCATACAAACAATTGTTACGTATAAGCTTCATGGTGCTTAAAATATATATACTGAATTCGCTAATGATTTATATATCTGTAATATATCATTTTTATTAGTTTTATTTAATACAGTAAGATTTAGAATTTTTTAAAAAAAATATTTTAGGCGACACAAATAAAATAATTTGGTTTTCATATCCAGCCGGGTCAGAAATTGCAAAATCAAAATTTTTTTATGCCACAGTATAGTAGATAGCTAATCAAAATTGCACGATTGTTCCAACACATAAAATTGGTAAAATTAAATTTAAAATCGTTTGAGTTTTGTGCAATAGACATTTTCCTTTAAAAGAAAAATCTTACCTTATATTTATTAGTTCAAGGTTGATGGCGTTTTGGGGAAATTTTTCGTTACACAAAGGGAAACGATTTTATTTCTGTATCTTAGCGCTCTACGAATTATGCAATGAGCTGAGCTGCTCTACTATCTGCTCAAAAAAAAAATTTCGCTACCATATATAATGTTTTTATATAAAAAAAATTTATATTTCGTGTATCATAACTAGCCAATGTCTACGATCTATTAATATATAAGTATAAAAAAATTTTTAATAAGTATCTCAGATTACAACAGTAAACTGTCTATATACAAGTTAATATTTAAACTATCTTCAATAATATTATATGAAGAAACTTATAAAACATAAAATTTAAAAGGCTTTAATAATTACATACGCTACAAAAAAATATATAACCGAAGTATTTGGATATTTTTTTCATTCAAAATAGCACCTATGATATCAGAACTGCAAGTAATGTGACCGATTTAGGGTTTGATTGGTTTATATAAATAGATTGATCTTCTGATTGGTTTTATGTTACAGACCTAGTATTGATGTTATTTGGAAATTTACTTTTTTTTTTATATATAGCTTTTAAATCTAAAAAATAATATTTATATAGAAAAAAGTTTTTATTTTTTCTTCTTACCAGTGCAATAACATTCTTTTTAGTGTTATATTTTTTTTACATCTTGATATTGTTAAACATATTATACAGTAGCCAACAAAAGTAACACCCAATTTTTGATTAAAAAATAAAATTTTTATTTATTTAATTTTGGTTACATATATATCAAATTTTTTATATATATTTATTTAATACTTTACTAAGTAACTTATACTTGTAATAGTATTGATTTTTTATGTTATTAATATATCTAAATTTGATTATATTTTTTGTAAGGTTGTTTTAAAATTAGATTTATTTCTTGATTATTAGCATAGTTCTGAATATTGTTCTTTATAATCTTTCAAATATTTCTATAGAGTAAGGCAACAGTAACATAAAAACAAAGTTCAATGTTGTGTAAGGTTTTAGTTACAGTCTGTATATTGTATTGAAGATTTAAATCCTTTACAATTTTAAGCAATGTATACATCTTTTCTTTAATATTTTTTTCACTATAGTAGTTTTTTTTTGCTTCTTTAAGATAAAAAAATATCTGAACTAAAGTAATTTTTTGATTTTTTTAAACCTTCTATATTTTATAAAAAGTTTTAAATTGTTGTTAAATTACATTTAATCTTGTGATCAACTTGTTCAGTACTTATTATATTAATATAAGTAAAAATCATTTTTTTCTTTTTTTTAGTCATTTGTTTATATAATATTTATATAAAAAAATTTTCTTTGATATATACTTAGTTTTTTTAATATTAAGAAAACAAAAAATAAAAAAAATTACTTCAAAATTCATAATAATAAAATATGTAACTCTTTTATTTGTTTACATATAATGATTAGCAAATCAGATATTACATTTTTTTTTTTTTGATATTAAGATGACCTCTTGGGTCTTTTGACTTTATTTAACAATAGTAAATGTAGTTTAATAAACTGTTACAAGAAGAGCATACAATTGGCCACATATGTAACTTTTCTATATTACCTATTTAAGAAGTTTGCCTAAAGGTTTTCTATCAATTGTTATATCTAATACTTCTGCTTAGATATTCTACTTTAAACCTTTTGAACCTGCAAATCTGTTAACTTTACTGGATCATACCTAATGCCCAGATTATTGTCTTAATCTTAGGACTATTTTATCTTCAAAGTAAACCTTTCAAAGCCTTCTGTATTTATTTTTACAGTTGATCTAGGTATTATTATAGCAGAACCAATATTTGCAGTCAGAGCTTAACTATTAAACTGCTATGCCTTTGTAAAGTTCACTTAGACTCCAGCATCTACTTTATAGCATAACTCCAATACTTTAGTATATCTCAGTACTTTAGTATATCTCTGCCTTTTTACCAAACTCCTAATCCAGATAGTCTGTATAGAACTATAATCAGTCCATTGGTATATCAGATTGGTCTGATATTCTTTTTCTCTAATTTATTCTAGCAGCCTAGTTGGTAATACCTCTAAGACTTCTAATTTAAAGATTTTTGTTTGTTTGGCTACTATAACCAGGTACTATAATCTTAGTATCTATTTTCTTAGTTTAACCTTTATAGTAAGACCATCAAAGATCCAGTTAGCTTTTTATTTAGATCTTCCTAAATAGACTTCTTGTTATCCAATTTCAATATATTTATATAGCTACAAGGACTTATTTAGTGTTTGCACTGTCTAAGTTGTCAGTTTGTATTCCTTTATATAATACTATATTTATACAGATACTTCATAACCTGTCAGTCATGTTGGTATAACTGTTATTACAGATATCCTAACTTAATCATTAGTAACAGTTACTATAATACAAATATTATATTGGTAATTATTCAAATTTTCATTATCAATAGAATTTGAACACTCCAACCTATCACTTGGAGGGTTGACAACCTAACCACTTCACTAGGTTGCTACACCTCTAAATCAAATTAGATATTACTTTTGTTAGTTATTATATATATATAGTTAGTAAAAATACAGTTAATTATATATATTATATTAGTTATTTTTATTATTATTTTTTTTTATTATTATTAAAGATCATATTTTATAATGATTATTTTATTAATATGTTTAGATTAGTATTACAATTATTTTTATAAAGATAAAAATATAATTAATTATATATACAAGTTAAAGTTATTTATTTAAGTAATCCAATTTAGGATCCTATACTAGATATTATATCTATAATCTACTAGGAAATTATTCATTTAAATTCTCTGGTTATCTGTTTTGTTAATCATTTAACTACTATTATATATATATATATATATATTTTTTTTTTTTTAACTTAAGTAGTCATGCTAGTACTTTATTAGAATTCTTGAAACTATACAAATTATAGAGAATTTTTCCAATAACTAAGTTCAGCATTACCTGGCCACCCTATTAGCACCTAAGTGCAACCTGCTACACTACCTTAAGCAGAGGTAGGCTGCTTGTCTGACTGCTGCCCTACAATAGGATACTACCAATTTGATGATGTCTTCTTATAGGGAAGCAAAAAAACAAAAAAAGATTTTATATGTAAAAAAAAACAGAGGTATAAGGATAAATGATAAAAGATACAAAACAAGAAATAAAAGAGGGAAAAGAAAAATGAGAAAAAAGGAAAGTGTGAAACTTGCAATTCACAAAAAATCAGACAGTCATGATTTTAAGTCTGTGTCAGACATGAAACTTGCAATTTACAGATATCAGACAACCACAATTATAAGCTTGTGTTGGGCTTGTAAAAATTATAAACTATACTAAATAGAAATTACTCTACTATCTTTCTATTTACTTAGATTATTT